TTCGCGCGAGGCTAAATTAGCGCATTACGCGTTCGGTCAGACTGCAAGTCGATACATAAATTAGTTCACACTATTAACCCAACAAGACTATAAAACACAAATGGTTATATTGGGGAATTACTTCGAACTTCATGTCACAAAACAAATGTAAGATCGTGTATACTTTTGACTAAACTATAGCATAACTGTTAAATCTCGCGTTAATTCCTATGAGAGGCGCGTGCACTTGATTTGTAGTTATGCAACTAAACAGTTGAATTGGCTGCGAAACAATCGACAATCGCACAGTTGTGCTATAGGTTTGTCCCCGCGCTAAAGTTCGTAATAGCAGTCGAAGACGTGATTTGGGAGGGTCGAGAATATAGTCAAATATCTTCGGAACTTCGACTACACACAACATAATCTTAGCTGTAAAGGGACTTGAAAGGCTACGGAGACGGCACGACCCATAACCTCGAGCCGGCAAGATATTTGAATCGATATATACTTAACTAGCTTTCGCCCGAGACTACCTCCGTGTGACATTAAAAAATACAAAAGTGAGTAGCCTATGTGTTCTTCCAGACTACCCTTTACATCTATACCAAATTTTATCGAGATCCGTTCAGCCGTTTAGGCTACAAACTCTAACAAAAATCCATCCATCTAATCATTCGCGTTTGTAATATTAGTAAATTAAGATATTGTACGGATCGGTTATTTGGTTCGTTTACTTCTATCTCTCAATTTAGTTAAGCCTTCGTGTGACATTTAAGAAATGGAATTCTAGAATATTCTATTTGCAATACTAGTTTATTTTGTTATAAACATAATTTACATGTGAAGTTTATTACTCCTGCGCATGACTGGTATCTTTAATGAATCGTTAAGCGTTTTGAAATATATGAATTTAGTTTTATTGCATACTAGCTTTGCCCGCGACTTCGTTAACGCAATCATACTTCATACTAATTTTATAAATGTGAAAGTGTAGATGGACGGATGTTTGTTAGAGTTTGTGGCCTGAACGCCTGAATGGATTTCGATGAAATTTGGCATATATGTTGGAGATAGTCTGGAAGGACACATAGGCTATTCACTTTTGTTTATTTCAATTCCACGCGGACGGAGACGCGAGCGAAAGCTAGTATTAATATAAAAAGTAGCCTATAATATGCCCGTCTATGTCAACTACCCTTCAGTGAAAGCCCGTTGAAATCGGCTCAGCTGTTTCGGAGATTACCCGGAAAAAACGCGGCTTACGGACATACAGACAATAATTTTTCAAATGCGACTTTCTTTATCAGCAACACAAATACATCGTCTTCCCGAAATCTGTAATTTTTTTTTTAATATAACAGATACCCAAATTTTATTATATTAGTTTTGTATAGACAGATGATAAAATATAGAATATATTTTACGCTTTTATCGATCAAAACACTTTAACAGTAAACAGAAGTAAGACAAAAAATAACATTACTAAGCCAAACCGCCGTAAGGGGAGTAAATTCCTACCTTTTTTTTATAACATAAAGTGGCAAACGAGTAAGCGGCCAAAATGGCGAAGCGACCGCTGCCCATAG